CAGGGCTTCCTGGCGCGTAGCCTCTTCACCTTCCACAACCGGTGCCAGCTGATGCTGAGGATGACCCTGGCCACTAGTAAGCGCTGCCCGGGTAGCGGCGTGTGCCTGTGTGTGTGTGTGTCTATACATATATATGTATATATATACACACATAAGCACAATATATATGTGTGCGTACATCTGTGTTTCTGGGGTAGCAGTGACCTTGGGCACCGTCTCTGTCCCTCCTGGCTCGAGGAGGTGCTGGGGATGCAGCCAGTGTGCAATGAGCGACCTGGTTTGGCTTAAGATGAATGAAACATATCGAGAGTGGCCGCGGTTTTGTTTGTTTCTTTTCTTTTGTTTTGTTTTCCTCCCTGGAAGACCTTCTCTCCACTTCTTCCTCTTAAAAATTTGAGAGGATCGACGGCTTTTTGTTTTATGTGTGGATTATTTTTCTTTTTGGTATGTTTACTGTGCTAAACATCAGTGAGGATGTGGAGATAGATGTTAATGCTTATATTGATATTCATTGCCAAAGAAATAACATCTGGCATGCCTTGACTCCTCTGAAACATTGTGTATATATGTGTATATGTATATATACACCGTATACATAGGCTGAGCCCTGCTGATTAGATGTCAGCTGCAAATACTACAATATATAAATTTGTATGCATAATGCTTTTTTTTCCTCCTCACGACTATATCTGTATCCTCAATTATAGATGACTCTGTACAAAACTTCTATTTAGAGAAATTGATTGCAGCCGTGTTTTTCTAGATCCACATGCTCGACTTCTTCTTGAGGCTATGAAGCAATCTGGTTGGTATGTAAACTAATGGGTACTACTTTGTGTGGTAACATTTGTGTTATGTGGGGTTAATAACCTTATTACAATTCTCCCTCTAATCTTGTTCATTTGGCTCTTTTAGCACTGTCTTCAATGACCGGCACTTTTCTTGTGAGAACTGTGATAGCTGTGTCGGGGGAGGTTTTGATTCTGCCACATCTCAGGTAGGCACTGAACTGTGCATTGTTGTCTTTCAAATAACTATAAATGTTTTAGCATTTTGTTACTAAGTGAAAAAGAGTTGAATTGCTAATGATGATAAAAGATTTGAAAACGGAAAGAGGAGATGTATGCAAGATGTCCAGCAATGTGGAACTAGCATTACTGGTACACTGCAGGATGATGAGATGTTGAAAAACGGTCATTTTTAAGGGTCTGAATCATGCAGGTGATCTCCACAGAGTCTCTGAGAATTAAAGGAGGTACTGAAAGTTAGTGTTGCTCAGAGTCAGCAAATAAGGTGTGTAACATTAGAAATTATCATTTATTTTTCTTAAAAAAAAAAAAAACCTATCCATACCTTTTCTTCTGCAGATTGTTCTGTGTCAGAACAATATTCGCCACCAATCCCAAATGAACCGTGTGGTTACACATGAATTGATTCATGCTTTTGATCACTGCCGTGCACACGTTGACTGGTTCAAAAACGTCAAACACTTAGCGTGTTCAGAGGTAAGTTAGAATGCTTCTAATATTGTCTCTGTATTACTACTGGTTAGTAGGGATGTTTCATGTTTCAAACTTTTTGACACTGTCTTCCATAACATCCTCATAGGCAAACTCAGGAAATATGGACTAGATGAGGGGACAGTGAAGTGGATTGAGAACTGGCAGAGTGGCAGAGCTCAGAGGGTTGTAATGAGCAGCACGGAATTGGAGGTTGGAGGTCTGTAGCTTGCAGTCTTCTCTAAGGGTCAATATTGGGTCCTGCCTTGTTCAGCTTACTTATCAGTGACCTGGTTGAAGGGGCAGAGAGCACCCTCAACAAGTTTGCTGATGGTTGAAAACTGGGAGGAGGGGCTGATACATCCAAGGGCTACGCTGTCATCCAGTTTAGAGGGATCAGGACCAGCTGGAGAGTTGGGCTCAGAGGAACCTTGTGAAGTTCAACGTAGGCAAGTGCAGAGTCCTGCACCTAAGGAGAAATAACCCCAGGCATCAGTGAAGACAGGGCGACCTGCTGGAGAGCAGCTCTGCTGAGGACCTGGGGCTTCTAGGACCTGGGGCTGGCAACACGTGACCATGAGCCAGCAATGAGCCCTTGTGGCCAAGAAGGCCAATGGGATCCTGGCCTGCAGGTGGAGGGAGGTGATTCCCCTCCCACTCTACCTAGCCCGGGTAGGCCATGTGTGGAGTACTGCATCCAGTTCTGAGTTCCCCCATACAAGAGAGACAGACCTACTGGAGTGAGCCCAGCATAGGGTTCCTAAGATGATAGACTGGAGCATCTTTGCTTTGCGGACAGGCTGGGTCCCCTGTATTCAGGCTGGATATGAGAAGACTGACGGGGGATCTGTAGTAGATCAGTGTCTGAAGGGAGGTGTCGAGAAGTGGCACCCAGTGATGCGTCAAGAGGCATCACGCTCAAACCCAGGAAGTTCTGTTTGAACAAAAGGGAAGAAAACTCTCTACTGGGTGTGTCCTGAGCATTGGAACAGGTTGTTCAGAGAGATTGTGGAGTCTCCTACCTTGGGGATATTCAAGCCTGACTAGATGCAATCTTGGGCAACGTGTTCTAGGTGCCCCTGCTTGAGTAAGGGGGACGGGCCAGAGGATCTCCATTCTCAATCATTCTGTAATTCTCTGTGATTCATGTTCATCTGGACATACCATTATAGAAATTTTGTTTGTCTTAATCTGGTTAATTTCTTTGTCCTTTCTGCCAGGTCAATCTAGACAGTTTAATTCAGAGAACAAATAGTTTGTTTTCACAAATACTAAGGAATCATTGTCATAGTAAGTAGAATGCTGTTGCTGTAAGTGGACCCATGACAAGTGGTTATTGGCAAATGAGAGTAGTTCAAGATTATTACATGTAAATGTTTTCTAGTCATGATCTTTTTCTTTCTTGCAAATCTTGATATATTCACTAGTTATGAAAATAGTACATTTATCTTGTGTATTTTGTGGGGTTTTTTTTTACAATTTTTTGTTAGCAGTAAACCTATTTTTTATTAAGTGTAACATTACTAATAGTACATTTTGCTCATGACTTCGTATCCTTTTCAGAGGAGATAGGAACAAGCTATTTGAGAGGCTTGGGAAATTGGATACATTATAAGGTTAAGGCAGACCTCTGCATAGTCCATGAAGAATACCTCCTGTCTGTATTTGCATTCCTATACTCCTATGTAAACCCAGGCAACTACAGGCCAGTCAACCTCACCTCCATCCTTGGAAAAGTGATGGAGCAGCTCATCCTGGCTGTTGTCCCCAAGGATATGGAGAACAAGAAGGTGCTCAGGAGTACTCGACATGCATTCAGCAAGGGGAAATCATGCTTAACCAACCTCATAGCCTTCTGTGATCAAATGACTGGCTGGGTAGATGACGGGAGAGCGGTGGATGTCGTCTATCTCGACTTCACTAAGGCTTTTGACACCGTCCCTCACAACATCCTCCTGGGCAAGCTCCGAAAGTGTGGGATAGATGAGTGGACAGTGAGCTGGATTAGGAACTGGCTGGATGGCAGAGCCCAGAGGGTGGTGATCAGCGGTGCAGAGTTTGGTTGGAGGCCTGTAGGTGGAGGTGTCCCCCAGGGGTCAGTCCTTGGTCCAGTCCTGTTCAATTTATTCATCAATGAATCCCTGGCAGTGTTCAAGAAACATGTGGATAAGGCACTTAGGGACATGGCTTAACTGGCATGACGGTGGCAGGTTTACAGTCGGACTTGATGATCTTGAAGGTCTTTTCCAACCATAATGATTCTATGATTCTATCTGTATGTACTTTTGTTATGCTCAGCCTGGTTTTCATTGGAGGTGAAAATACAGAATTGCATTGTCTATCCACAAGCCATTGGTGAGGCTGTACCTGGAGTACTGGGTGCAGTTCTGGACTCTCCAGCATAAGAATGGCGTGGAGCCCCTATAGAGGGTCCAACATAGAGCGACAAAGATGATTAAGGGATTTGAACATCTATCTTATGAGGAAAGACTAAGAGAGCTGGGTCTGTTTAGCCTGAAAAAAAGATGACTCAGAGGGAATCTAATACAGATATACAGATACCTCAAGGGAGGGAGTGAAGAGGATAGGGCCAGCCTCTTTTCAGTGGTGGCCACTGATAAGACAAAAGGAAACGGGCACAGACTGAAGCACCAGAATTTCCACAGGAACTTTAGGAAAATTTTCTTAACAGTGGGGGTGACAGAGCACTGGAACAAGTTGCCAAGAGAGGTTGTGGAGTCTCCTCTGGAGATCTTCAAAACCTGCTTGGACACAGCCCTGTGCCACGTGCTCTAGGTGACTCTGTGTGTGCAGGGAGGTTGGACTAGATGATCTCTAGAGGTCCCTTCCAACCTTAAGCATTCTATGATGATCCTTATTATTTGGCTACATACAATCATAGAATCAAGCCTTATAATTGATGTTACAAATTATATCTTTGCAGATGAATAAGGTTAGGTGGCTCTTTCAGTACGCTTTTTAAAATGGTACAAAAATACAATAATTCTTTAAGGAACATAATCAAATTGAGACTTAAGAAATTCACAAGTTTCAACAATAAACTTTAAAGAATAGGTGAGAGAACTGATATGACAGGTCTGCTACAGAACAGATCAGGCTTCATAAAACTAAATTTTAATCATATTTGCCTTGGGAATACTTTGCATTATCAGGTATCTTCTTTATCTTTTATTAGATGTAATTTAGTATCCAAGTAATATTATATGTCATTAAAATTATTCTGTATAATTCAAAATTATCTTATCTGTTTTTTTGTTTGTCTGTGTATCAACACAGTGCAGATTAACACATGTACATCTCGAACACAAAATTAGTGAACGTGCCTAAAACAAGCTTGGCTTGATCTTGCTTTTGTTGGTATTCTTTGCGTGCTTCAGCTCTTTCATAGATATTTTCTATAACCATGGTATTTATAACTTTTGCTCATTCACTTTTTTTTTTTTTTTGATATGTTAACCTTCAGTCTGCTACCTCATTATAGGAAATACAATTTTAGTTACATTTCCTGGTTGAGGAGCTACGGTGTGGAACAGTTGGTTGACAAAGGCACAGGAAGACAGTTTACATGGGGAAAATATGTATTCTTTTAAATGTATCTTTCTCTAAAGCAGGTGATTTAGCAGGTTACTGCTATTCTGAGTTTTTGGACTTGTCTGGGTCTTGTCATCCTTCTTGGCTGCTGTATCAGTTTCTCACAGGTTTGAGGAGAACCTGTTTCCATATTTCTTTAACAGATCTTGTATTTATGAGCTTTTCTAAGTTCCAGGAGTATGCAAAAATTGATCTCTGGAGTTCTTTCCTGGTTTTATATGTTGCCATTCATTGGAATTGAGAGGATATAAAGATATTATATACGTAATGAGTGTTAGTGATCCTGGGAACATTCTTTACTAGCAGTCACCAGAACAAGGATTTCACAGTTTGTTTAACTTTTGCATTCCTTTTTTTTTTTCTCTGATCTTGTGTTTTTTTTGTTTTTGTTTTTTCTCCCCACAATAGATTCGAGCTGCTAATCTCAGTGGAGACTGTACACTGATGAATGAAATAGCCAGGTTTAAGTTCGGATTAAAGCGACACCAACAGGTAAAGTCCGTAGATGTTAACGTCTCTTGATTTGTTATGAGCATTCTTTCTATTTTGAGCTCTGGCTTCCATACTTCAATAGCTGAAAGCTTCACAGGGTCCTGAGTTAAATGTGAGCTAAATACTTGACTGCAGAGTAGCAGTCTACTTACGTATTACGTTTTCTGTTACCTACTTCTACCTTTTTACAGACACAGTGTATAGGCCACTCCTATAAATTGAGCTGTAATTCTGTGTTTCACAGTTTTCATCATCACTTGCACCTGAAGAATGAATACATAATGACACCTGCCCCCCTCATTGATTTTTGTATTTTGTCCCCACCTTACATTGCTAGGGAGTGTTTGCCATATTCCATCACAGTTTATTTGAAGAGCAGTAGGATGCAGCAATGCTGGAGAAAAGAATGTGCTCTGGATTCGCTGCTGTCTCTTAATTCCACTTTAATGTTTCGTGATCATTTTTGTTTGTCTTTTCTGTCCGTTTGCTGGAGTGAAATAGCTAACCTAGTCATATTCTAGAGCACTATCACCAACAACTGAAGAGGACTGAGTGAATGATCAGTGTGGTACCACTGACAATGGAAGAGCACAAAAAAATCAGAATTAAACCTTATTTTTAAGATAGTTTTTTCTTTTTTCTTTTTTTTTATTGTTCAGATTCTAAATCATCTTTGGAATCATTTAGCTACTTTATAGGAAACCTTTTTTGACTCAAATGTGATAGATTTTTAAACTAGCAACTATCATCCAAGTTACTACTAAAAATTTTGTTAGAATATGATTAATAACCGCCAAGCAAAAACAGTTTTGTAAGGAAATGTCTTACTGTTTGTATGGTTAAAAGAGCTTGAAAACTAGGAGCTTGAAAAGAGACAGAATGACAAGGGTCTAAATAACCTAATTGTTTTAAGTCCTGTATTATTATGTTTTTTCTTCAGAATGAAATTTGCAAGTACTTGTGTGTAATTCTAAGTTGTACAAATATATAATACTACAACAAAAGTCAAATTGTACTATATTTTCTGTTATGGGGTAAAACTCTTATTTACCCAAAGGTTTTTGTGCGTAATGCAGAAGTAAAACATATGGTTAGCATAGGACTGAACAAAAGTGTTCTTTATTATTATTGAGTCTTCCATGATAGAAAATTTCTGCATATATAGTAGGAGTTAAAATTTTTCAATATGAGAAATGTGATTTATTCTAACTTCTCAAGTAATGACAAATTTTATCTATTTCCCACTTTCAGACTTGCGTACGAGACCGAGCTATTCGTTCCATTCTGGCTGTTAGAAAAGTTAGCAAAGAAACGGCAGAAAAAGCTGTGAATGAAGTTTTTGATGCCTGCTTCAATGATCTGGAGCCATTTGGAAGAATCCCATACAGCAAATCAGATGCAAAACGTGCTTATAAAGACTTTCAGAACCGAGGTCGTTATTATGCTAATTTGTAAAGGAAAAAGCTTGAAAAATAAATTTTTTAATTTTTGGTTACACCTAGGTTAAGCCTATGCACACAACTCTGGTGGAATGGACAGTTCTACCAAGAGAATGAATTTGTTTTGTAGACTTTATCCATGAGCCAAATTCCATTGAGGTAAACAAAGTAAGTAAGATTTTGAACAGTGTATTTTCTCACCTGCTATTTCAGCAAGATCATTCAGTGTATCAAATGACTTGGCAAATCAGACTTATTCCGCACAATTCAATGCAAATTAATTCTGCTCAGTATGCCTAGGACTTTGTTTCTTTAAGTTCTGTCTTTACGGAATAAATCTTTTCATAAAATCTTTACATTTCCATCATGTTCGATACATAGTCATAAACCTGATGATAGTCTTGATCATTCCTTTTTAAGGCTGAGCACCTAAGCTATAGCTTTTGGGTCCCCATTTGGTTTTTGCACATATCCCTAGCTGCCTAAATTGCTGTGTTTGTTTTAGAGTTCAGTCTTTCAGTACCTCTGAGACCCTTGGAGGTCAACTGCACAGGTACATCAAGCCCTTTGGTTTATTGGGATTTAACTGACAATTATCGAGCTTAAGCTAAATAAGCATTGTGAGAGGATATTCCTCCTTGTTTGGAAGATCAGGTACAGTGGAGTATTTCCCCTTGTTGGCTCTTCAATCATCTGTATCAGCAAGTTATCCTCAGCGCACGCCAGAAAACTCGACTGCTTGTGCCCTGCTGCTTTGTCTCTGCAGTGGATATCAAGTTCCCCATGAGGATCAGGGTCTGTGAATGTGAAGCTTCTGCCAGTTTTCTGAAGGAAGCCTCATTTACTTCAGGTGGTCTGTGGCTGCCCCTTACCACGTTACCCGTGCAGGTATGCCCTCTAATTCCATCTGCTCTCACCTGACACAGAGCTGTATGGATTCCCACTGCTCGCTCACTTATATGGGGCAACTCCTCCTCAGCCCATTCCTACTAAGGAGCCTGTTGCAGTGCACAGGTTGAGAGCTGTATCCCACCGTGTTGCTTGTCATCCTAGTGAGCCATGTAGCTCTATGCAAGCATCTGATTCTCCTGTTTTAGTTTATTTCTTCATAACTCTGTATTTGCAGGACAGGGCATTGCTAAAAGAAGCAAAACTCAGAAAAATAAACAAAAAAAACAGCATCTTAAAAAATGATTGAGTAGTAAAGATTTCTAATGTGTCCTCTAGATTACCTCTTTCTTCTGCTGAACACCTAACAAGAAACTGGTACAGACCCTGGTTCAATTTAAAAACAATTTTTACCTTAGTTCTGTGCAGCACTCAGAGCCGTGTCAAGAGAAGGAACTGTATAAGCTAAAGTTCAAAGTGTTTTCACCTGTATTTCAAATGTTCAGCTCCTAGCATAGAAACGACAATGCTGTAGTAAAATTTGGTACCTTGAACTGTACATAGGACAGCTTACAAGAAGTGACTGAAGGAGTTGGATCCGAAATGTAACTGTGTTGTAGAGTGTACATGTCTAGGTGAGACTAACACTCCCAGCGTGAAATTATTCCATGCACTTAGACACTAAGGCATTCTTTTCATGACAAGTAATACAGTTGCTTTGGTATGGGCGTCCCACATACAGTTAGAGTCCGCATGAGTTTGGGAACATTTCTGTTAAGCAGTTTGCATGCCAGTCCTCTGGAGATTTGAAAAGTTTAGAATATACAGATGGAAGTTGTTTTGTTCACCCACCATCAGTGTCAGATAACCAGTGTCAGAGTCACCAAAGATGTGGTTAGTTAAACAGTATCTAGAGCCTCAGTCCTAAGCACAAGAACCTACCAATTGTGTTTAGTGCACAACAAATTCACTCAAGCAAAAAAAGCCGCCTACTCTGTCACTTGGTGAGTTCAAACTGCTTGGAAATAGGAGTAAAATGCCACCTGCTGCCTGGATGGGCTTATGTGACAGGTAAGGTCACTGTACAGATTTCTAGTGTGAACCAGAGCTTGGGCTCAGTCTTTTGGAATAACAAGTGCATCGCTACACACATTTTATTTGCTGCCTGTTTAAAGTAAAATGTGTAAGTAGTCCTGCAAGGCCTGAACTCCCAGATCTGCTAGCCCAACTTCCTAACTAGCCATCCCTGTCACAGAGTTAAAACCTGGCGTTCCTGTTTTTGCTTTCATTAGGCCTCTGGATCCTGCTTTCTTGCTTTCTTTCTCCCAGCAAGGTTTGGAAAGCAAGAAAAACTGAATGACAGTGGATTACTCCATAAATATGTTGGTAGAGGGAATTACGTAAGTAATGTCCCAAGGTTGAACTGTTATAAATTGGTCATGATTAATTCAAATAGGAATTAGGAATATTAGGAATTAACAATTCAAAAAGGCATCTGAAAAGCAAAGGCATTTCTGTTTTGATAGTGGACAAGGAACATGCATTATTTACACAGGGAATGAAAAGTTTATGGAATGGCAGGATCCTGAAATGAGAAAAGTTAAGCTCTTGAATATTCAAATAATGTGAAACTAGATTGTTGTGTGTTCACATTAATTTGCGTTTTATTTCTGTTGTCTTAGTCCTATATTTCATTTTTTTCCTGCTAGTTATTTAGAAAGACCATAAAGGAAAGGACTAGTCTTTGCTTCTTTCTACTGCACCCACAAATTTCTAGTTCTTCATGTCCAGCTTCTGCATCACTGGGGAGCCAAGAGGAACAGGCATGAGTTACAAGGTGCTGATGGATTTAAGGTCTTAAACTCTTTTAGTGTCAGTTTGGTGTATTTTACTCATATAGTGAAGGTTGCGCTAATCAGTAAATCTGTGATCATAAAAGAAATATTCCTTGAGTAATATGATAGAGATCCAGTTTTTTTTTCTTTTGCCTTATTCCACAGAATGAAGATTAAGACAGTGCTCTGAAGGTTTATAAAAGAAGTATTGTAGTTACTGTAGCTGTCCTACAGAAGTAGTGAGAAGGTCAATAGTGTGTATACAGCGAAGCAGTTAGATACTGGACTAAAAACAGTTGAAGGACTAGCTAGCGGCTGGTGTAGACAACTGTGATATTGACTGGAACAAGGAGTTGATGTATAACAACGTATGGCATGAATAGAACATGCAGTGCTACTAGTATATACATGGCTTATGAGCAAAGCACGGGAAGTGCATGAGAGAAGATCATATATTAGGATAAACAGTCTGATAAAATGTATAATGACCTAACCAAATGCAAATAATAAAGAGCTGTTGCTTGGATTCTTTGGATTCAAGCTGATGAGCAGCTAGACACCATTTTGTGCTGCACAGTTGTTTGCGGCCTACTATTACTGCTCTGCATAAAGAGGCTTGTCATAGTATGATAAGCTGTGACAGTGCAAGGGTGGTGAGTCTGTCCCTCAGAAATGAGATCTCATATGACCTCTGGAGCAGTTCATTAAGCCTGTGCAGGACAAGCTACACACTGAGTAGTTAAGTAGTTACCTGGGATTTAGACTACCTGGGCCAACATCAGCATTAACCAGGACAGAGTCTAGTGGAAAAGGTAGATCTGGAAGAAACATAGGAACAGCTTTTTTTTTTTTTTTTTTTTTTTTTTTTTTTTTACTGTACATCCAAAGCTTTTTGCTATGGGAAAGCTTATCGTTTGTGTCATTCATGCTCTCAACTGCTGCACATGTTCTGGGTGGCCCTGGTGGGGGAGGACTGGGTATGGTAATTGGTGCTGTCTTTTCCTGGTCTGTGTCCCTGTGTATTTTGTGACAGCAGATTTGTCAGTGTATGAAGCTTTCTCAGAGGATACCATGTGTTAGATTTGGCTGGTGTAGGCAACAGACTCACTGGTGGGACTTGAGCAGGAGAGAAGGTCTGGACATGCACAGATTTCTCAGACTGGAACAGAAGGTCCTGCCTGGCTGCTCTAGAGTAACTCCAGAGTTAGACAACATCTTAAAAGAGCTTTTGTTGAACTGCAGTTTTGGTCACCTACAGTCTATCTACAGCCTCTTTTAGATGTCTACATTCTTCGAGTCTGATTCTAGCTCTGTAATTCTCCATGGCGTAATTCTGTAGTGTAATTACAGAATTACATGTAATTAGTCTTAGTCCCCAGGGATCTACTCCTACAGGCCTCACTGAAGGACAAGTAGCATTAACCAGACAATAGAAAAAGCAGCGATTTCCTTTGTCACCCAGGCAGATGCAGAGAGAGAGAGAGTATTCAAATGTAAGTGCTGTCCACCCAGAGGACCACAGGAACACACCCAAAGAGTCTCCAAGAGATTTGATCAATGACCAACTTGTTCCGTTCATGCTGGCTTGCATGAGAAATGTCCCTCTATTCGCATAGATAACGTAATACATGTCATTAGGTACTGTTACTCATTAATGCGGATCCCTCAGAAACATATCCTAGTTGTCTTTGAGAAAATAAGATCTTGCCAAAGATTCCCCACACCTGCGTTTTCAATAGTTTGCAGAATTTCACATGGAGATTTCATAATCTTGTTTTCTCAGGATAATTCCTTCAGTGACTGAGATAATCGCATGTCTGAATATCCAGCAGGAAAAAAATGGATATAATACCCTACATACCTATGGAGAAAATTACACATTGAATTCTAAGCTTTCCATCTTTGATGTAATCTAGGTAGACCTTCTGCATTTTCTAAAATCCCCTGTGGATCAGAGATGCCTTGGAACAGCATAATCTTGTGTGTTAATATTCCCTTAACCTTTACTTCTTTTCAAATCCCCATTTTAGTCAATATGATGTATGATGCTGAATTTTTCATAATGCTTCTAACATATATTCAGGCATATATTCCTTCCTTTCATTATACCTTATTAAGAATAGTTCTGATTTAATGAATGTGTGTGTGTTCTGTATTTATATTGCTTTTTTACTCATACATTGTTGAGTCTATTTAGAAATGGGAAAACAACAGAGTAAAATATAACCATACAAGCTGCTCCTTATTTTGTTTACCATTTTTGATAGATGAACACCATTAAAATCTAGGAAAGACAGTATGCCAGAGATGTATCTAAGAAAGCCATTGGCAATAAACAGTGCATAAATCTACACAAAGAAATAATTATT